CTGGTTCCAGCCTCAGTTCCATTCTGGTTCCAGGCTTGGTTCCATTTGGGTTCCATTCTGGTTCCAGGCTTGGTTCCATTTGGGTTCCATTCTGGTTCCAGGCTTGGTTCCATTTGGGTTCCAATTGGGTTGAATTCAGGTTCCACGCTGGTTCCATTCTGGTTCCATGTTGGTTCCCTTCGGGTTCCAGGCTAGTTCCATTCTGGTTCCAGGCCTGTTCCCTTCGGGTTCATGGCTCAGTTCCATTATGGTTCCAGGCTGGTTCCCTTTGGGTTCCAGGTTCTGTTCCATTCTGGTTCCAGGCTGGTTCCCTTCAGGTTCCAGGCTGGTTCCCTTCAGGTTCCAGGCTGGTTCCATTCTGGTTCCATTCGAATTCCAGGTGGTTCCGTTCGGGTTCCAGGCTGGGTCCTTTCAGGTTCCAGGCTGGTTCCATTCGGGTTCTAGGCTGGTTCCAGTCTCAGTTCTATTCTTGTTCCACGCTTGGTTCCATTTGGGTTCCATTCTGGTACTATGCTGGTTCCAGCCTCAGTTCCATTCAGGTTTCAGGCTGGTTCCCTTCGGGTTCGAGGCTGGTTCCATTATGGTTCCAGGCTTGTTCCCTTCGGGTTTCAGGCTGGTTCCAGCCTTGGTTCCATTCTGGTTCCAGCCTAGGTTCCATTCTGGTTCCAGGCTGGTTACAGCCTTGGTTCCAAGCTGGTTACAGCCTTGGTTCCAGGCTGGTTCAGGCTCGGTTCCAGGCTGGTTCCAGGCTCGGTTCCAGGCTGGTTCCATATTTGGTTCCATTCTGGTTATAGGCTGGTTCCAGGCTTGGTTCCAGGCTGGTTTCATGCTGGTTCCAGGCTCTGTTCTAGGCTGGTTCCATGCTGGTTCCAGGCTCGGTTCCAGGCTGGTTCCATATTTGGTTCCATTCTGGTTCCAGGCTGGTTGCTTTACTGTCCCTCAAACAGCTCAGCTAATCCTCCAGGTTTTGGTGGCTTCTCCATCCCAGACTGCTGGCCTGAGACAGAACCCACAGTCAGGAGGATTTGGGTCATAAAACCAGACAGTTTGGATCTTGGTCCAGCTCAGCAAGCTCACAGAGACCAGAACCCATGAGCTATCAGGTCCAACATGGCTGCTGATCTCTGCTTCTCTTTGGACAGGACTTCCTGACCGACCTGGAGATCCTGGCACTAATGATTGCGACGCTCTGCCATGACCTGGACCACCGAGGGGTCAACAACTCCTACATCCAGAGGTACGGGAGGGGGGGTTATCTGAGATTGGTAGATCTACAGTGAGGCTAACATCTATATGTGATGTCTAGGAGCGAGCACCCTCTGGCTCAGCTCTACTGCCACTCCACCATGGAGCATCACCACTTTGACCAGTGCCTCATGATCCTCACCAGTCCGGTAAGTCCGTGTCTCCTCATCCAGACTCAGAAGATGATGTTGTCACGGCAACGCTGCAGGGTGGTATACTGACCCGGCTTCTTCTCTCCAGGGGAACCAGATCCTCAGCGCTCTCTCTCTGGCCGAGTACAGGAGCACCCTGAAGATGATCGAGAAGGCCATCCTGGCCACGGACCTCGCCCTCTACATGAAGTAGGTACCGCCCCGCACCTGACAGCGCCCCCATGCGTGTCACACCGCCCCCTGCTGGCTGCCTGACAGCGCCCCCATGCGTGTCACACCGCCCCCTGCTGGCTGCCTGACAGCGCCCCCATGCGTGTCACACCGCCCC